CGTCAAAAGTAGCAAGCAAATCTCTACCGACTTTTCTCTGTTCATCGACTAACTGTTCATCCTAACCTGTTGAAAAATCCTGTCATATAATTTGTCTGCCATTGTTAAAAATGTAAAGAAGTCCTCGGAAGTAAAAACTTTCGACAGTGATTGCCGTAATCCGGTTTTCCTCCTAAACAAAGAATGCAATTTTATGGTATTTTCTTGAATTCACAGGAAGACATGCTCAGCTTTACTCGGAATATTCGGTTTATTAATCGCACAAAATTTGGGAATAATTCTATTCAATGAAGATAATTTAAAAAATCGAATATGCTTAATTGCCTTTCGTGTTCTTAGTGTAAAGTGATGAACCTCGAAAAGTTCGGTACCCATAGGTTCCTTGTAAATGTTTATAAAAACTGGTACTCGCATAATACCTTGATGAATTCATGTTGAAATACCTTTCATTTCGATTGAAGAGGCGAATCGAAGCGAAAGCTATAGGGCGATCGCCCTGGAGCAGTGATTGTGGATTTTTGCGAATAAGATTAAGAATCTACGTAAAACATTTCCCTACCGCTGCCCTTGACTCTTCTGGCGAATCCAATCCGTTGCAACTGAGCATGGATTGTACAAGTTGTGGAAGGGGTGATGGATGAATTTTCCCATTGTCATATGAATAGACCTCAGGTTTTCACTCAAATGTACATAGCTTTACTTTCCAACCGTATTCACATCCAGGTTGATCTACAGTGCTGACCTCGCCCAGGTCTAAAGGAGTTTAATGAGATGTATTCACCCTATTTCGTCTAAGGTGATGAAAGACCGGTAGTAGAATTTTCCCACAATGATATGAGTTGAGTTGACGTTTCCCTTAAATTTCACATAGCCTTGCTTTCCCAAAAGTTGTTCTCATCCAAAGTCTTGAAACCCTGCTCTAATAAGAATATAAGTAACGTTGTCGATTGCTATAGCAAACATAGGTTTGCTTCATCGGCAATCTCACCAAAAGAATATGATATAGCAAAGAGGCCTGACCTTCCTTGAAATTCACTTATGCCCTGTGACTC